TATCCAGCTGCGGCCGGTCAGTGACGTCAGCATTAAATGCCGGCCGGCAAGAATAAAAATGGTGGCGCACGCTGCGGAGACAGCGGAGGGTCAGGGAGGACAACTTCTGCTGATGCCAGCGGCAGAGAAATCACTCCCCACAGGACCCAGGGGTTGGAGTCAGCTGGAGTGAGTGCAGGCAAAATGAGGTGGAGCACCTTGATGTCGACCCACACAGGATGGTGAGGGATCGTCCAGAACGCCGTCGGGGACATTGCCAGAGCAACCTGGGGAGACGGAGCAGACTGCAGGTGGGAGTGCGGGGACGACGGGGCACCAAAGAAGTCCTTTCAGGGAGAAGAAGACCCCGGGAGAACCCCAGAGGGGCTGCTGTCAAGGCAGATATCACCTCTGGACCCAGATGGGTCATTGAGCAGGTGAGAGAACAGATGTTGAAGCGATGGGAGGGAAAAGTCAACCCGTTCCCCTTACAGACCCAGGCAGGGTAGAAGGGAAGCCAGAGGGGCAGGTTGCCCAGTGATTTTGTTAAGGCATTCTTTGGTCATTTTCCCTGGCTATAGGGTACAGGAGGGGAAGTGGATCCCCAAGTAGTGAGGCCGAGATGGAGTCCCAGAGGTTTTTGGTCTTGTCATTAGGTTTTCCCTCAAGGGAGGGGTGACAGCTAGGCAGGCTAGGGATAAAAGGCTCCAGTTGGGGGGACCCTTTCACAGAAGGAGGAGGCTGCTAGACAGACTTCGCTCCACAGGAGGTGTGAGGCCGGGCTGTAGGGGTGGTGGAGCCCTGTGAGTAACCGCTGGGTGAGCTACGGGCCAACGAGTGGTCCAACAAGTCGTGTCAGGCGAGCGCGGGGTTGAAGACTCGGGTGGAAGACATCAGCTCAGGCGAGAACATGAACCCGTGAGGTGCTTGTCATGGAGTGGGGCCTAGGAGCGGCCGTGATCTCTCTAGCGCCCCTACCGTGCCAAGTAGACTATCCAGCACCCTCTTTCTCGCCTGCCACGTCTTGGTGTCATACAGTTTTATAAGGGAGGCTGCCTCTTGTCCCCTCAGACACGATACTATGTGTGTCCTGGCCTCTACTCTATAAGGAGTGACCTGGTGCACCCCCAGCCTTATGGGCTACGCATGCCTCCAACCTCCCCTTTAGCACGCTCCAAGCCTCGCAGATCTTCCGGATGTTGTCCCGCCAATAGACCTTCCCTAGAGGCCCTCTCACAGGCCTCCGATCGGATGTTCACCCACACCGGGCCCTTTTCTCTCGTCCACGCCCTCTCCTGGGGCTCTCTCAATACGCACCCTCTCCTGGGGTCTCTCTCTCTTTACGTGCCCGCTCCTGGGGGCATCTCTCAGTTCGCGCCCGCTCCTGGGGGCATCTCTCAGTTCGCGCCCGCTCCTGAGGCTTCGCTCACTGACAGTGCCCCACTGGGCCTGTCCCTCCGTGCTCATGCACTCCTTGTTCTCTCCGGGCTTCTCAATAGGTTTGCCCCCCTTCGGGGGCTTTTCCCTTACAGACAGTGCCCCTCTGGGCCTGTCTCTCTGTATAAGTTTTTCTTCCAATGGGGCTCAGGCGGCCGTAGCCTTACCTGGCCCCCCCATTCCATCTAAGTTGTCTCCCAATCGGGCTCAGGCAGCTGTAGCCTGACCTGGGCCCCCCCCGTATTCCATATGAGTCTTCTCCCAACAGGGCTCAGGCGACCATAGCCTTACCTGACCCCTTTATTCCATAAGAGTGTGCCCTCCCTGGCACCCGACTATCGTACCCACACAGGCACTAGGAACCCCCACGCTACTGGGTCGCTCCCCTGAGGCCTCCTCCAACCCCTACAGCCTCACCTGGTCCTCCGGTGCAACAATAACACTAGGGAACATAAAGCCTTGAGCCAACCAGCTATCACTCAAAATAAGTCTCCCTGGCTAGAACGTAAATGCTGTGCCCCTATGGCTCACCTTCCCAGCCTCTCTGCCAGGGTACTCTCCACCCCTTATCATATTGCAGCCACTCGGGCGGTCAGGCTGCTCTTCTCTGTTCTGCTCTCCTTTTGCTCTCGTCTTCACAGTTGCTCTGTTCTGCTCAGCGTTGCAGCAGAGCTGTTGCTCCTTAAGCTGCCAGAGGGGAACTGACTCTGAGGCTTCGGCCTGGGCTGTTTATAAAGGCCCGGCCCTGCCCCCTTCTGGTCACATGACCAGTGCGGTTGCCCCAGCAACCAGCACCTGTGTTGCCCTAAAGGTTGGCAGCTACCCTTATCCTTACATAGGAACAGGGCACCTAAGTGCCCCTGTGACAGCGCTTGACACCAATCACTCGAGTGAGAGCTGCCCAAGAGCGACTGTTTGAGGCCCAGCGGCTACACATATCTATGTAGCCTAGTGGTTAAATCACTCAGCCTTAGGCTGCAAACAAACATGTAGCACACCTGGTCTAGGTTTAGGTGGCAGGGCTTACTTGAAGATGCCTAAACCTAGACAAGGAGTGGCATGTGTTTGCTGCTGCTAGGAGCAACACAGGCAGCCTGAAGGGAAGGGGAGATGTTTAATGGGCCCAGGTGGGGGTGGGGGAAGGAAGTTGCCCAGCCAGGGGAGGGATGGGGGGATGTCAGGGGATTGAAAATAGCCCAGTCAGGGTTGGGGAGCTAGGATGGAGTGACCAGCAGGGCTTTCCCAGCCCCAGGGTTATGCTGTGAATGCATGTATGCAGGCATTTGGGAAACTAAGTTAACTCTTTCCTAGATCAGGATAACCCTTTCTCAATCCAAGTAAGTACACCTTCTGAGATGAGCTAATTTAGATAAGGTGTGCCATTTTAGATCAACCCAAAGTCATCAAGTTTATCTAAATACAATGTCTGTATGTATCTTTAATGTTCTCTAATCTAGATTATCATAAATGAAGATGCTGATAGCAGCACCACCTTCTCCTTCTCCTGGTAGTCATATTTTAAAATACAGAAGCAAATGTTTGCCAGTTTCTTTTGTTAGCAAGATAGGAGATGGTAACCTTCAGGACAGTATAGTCTGTGGAGCTGAGGTTTACAAAGGCCCCACCCCACAGTCCTGAATACAGAATTGATATAAGCTTTAGGCAGCTGCACTCTGAAGGTGTTGGCTTTAGGGATTCATTTTCTTAAAACGCTGGCTGTTTTAGATCCCACTTTGAGTCACGTGGCCAACTCAGTTACCTGAAGGGGTACTACTGCAACACCTAAGCAGTTTAGATGTTTCAAGTCTTGCTTGGAATTGCTCCACACTTGCTTAATATTAAAAGGACACCAAGAGCAAGGGTGGCTAGCACATATGGCCCATATTGGGCAAACATGCTGATGGGAACCTACCACAAGGACAAGTTAGTGTGGCCTACCTGAATGAGACATGGTTGTACCCAAGAGGTGCAGTCCCCCTCACCAGTGACTCTTTTTCAAGTCATGTTGAGTCACTAAATTGTATACATTTTGACTTCCTCCGCACTCACACAGCTGAGTGGCATCTTTCTTTCCCATTTCTACTGATTCTTGTTTTTTCACCAGCCTTAAATGCCTGGCAAATATTGTGGCTGCTTGCTGCCAGACAGCTCTGAGGTAGACTACTCCAACTTTTACCTGATCCTATTTTGCATAAAATGAACTTTTCCAACCAGGAGATCCTATATCACCTTTCAGCTCTCCTGTGAAATAGGAATTTTCATTTCTACCTGGGAGAAATTATACAATCTTTGTACTCTCCTATGCCCAAGGAAGGGCACATGCACCCAAAAGCTTGCAAATAAAGAATTTTTTTTTAAACTGTCTAGGTGGTCTAATAAAAGATATCACCTCCCCAAGAGTTCTGATAACTTTGGCAAATACCATGAAATGGGACCCTAAACAGTCCACCCAAAATGCACCTTCTCTCAGCCAGGTGCATATGATTTGTGGCCCTGCCCTCCATGAGGTGAAGCTGTACCTGGTTGCCCTGTGCCTCATCTCCATATACATGTTTTGGAGCATCCCAGGACTTGTAACAAGAGCACTTCATTCCAGTCATGAGAGGGGGCTAATTAGCACTTGGATCCATTGTGGGGGGTTGGGTATCTAGAGTACACTGAACAGTGCTGAACTGTGGGGTCACCATGGCTTAAAACCCTGTTGACTCTGGTGGGGCCCAGCCCAGTGAACTATATAGTAAATAACTTTTGGCTTTGGGCTAATATTATGCATGGTTTGTATTGCATATAAGTAGGTGCTAAAGTGTGTCTGTGGAATATCTATGCCAAAGCATGCAGCAACTTAAAAAAGGTAATGTCTCAATTCTTCATGAACTAAGTCTGTGGGTACTATATGCAAATTGCTATAGCCATGTTTAATTTCAGGGGTATTTTTTTCAGATTTGCTCTTTACTTCCATGTGCTCAGGAAAAGCAGGGTCTGATGGGAAGGGGCTGCCAAGGGAAAAAGTGTGTGTGGGGGGGGGGGAGCAGAGAGCAAAAGAGCTACCTGACCCTCCAGACTTATTTTCCCTGCTTCAGAAGTGGGAGGCTGGGGAAATTCAAGGCAAATCTCCAATAATTATATTCTATACCTGGAAAATTGTAACTAAGTTATAAACTTTCCATATGGAGAATCTAATTATTGGCGAGCTGTCTTATAATTGGAGTCATTTTCTATTAGAGTAAATACGGTATCACAGTGGGCCCTAATGGATTAAAAAAAGCAAGCATCAACTTCAGAAGTAGAGTAATGTTGAGCATCTTTATGGTAGTTCACAGCTAATGTAATGAGAGAAATCAGGGTTTAATTTTTAATTTAATAGCTGTAGCTGCTTGGTTATTGTCCTAAGCTTATCTACCCTGTTTCATTTCCTCTCCTTGAATGAAGGTTTCAAGCTAATACAGGTGGTTTCCCTTGTTTTTATGCTGTACATGCATTCCTGGAAAACGGCGTGTAACTCAAATTCACATAAAGGGAACCCATATAACAATGTAACAAATAGGGATATGTTCTACGACCTTGACTGTACTGACTCTCAGACCCATTTCTACCACTTTTACAAGCCAATTTTGGTACTCGCCAACAGCAGACAGTACACACAAGCACAGGGCAATATCATAATAGGGATGGCAACTGTAGAAACATGTGTCACAGACAACCAGCGAGGAGCACAGATCCACACAGGACCACTATATTGTGGTGTGCATCACTCCCACAATGCACCGCACAAAACAGCTGTGGGCTTCCACCACACCAATCACATGAGAAGGAGTTTACCTCGCATATAAAGTATTTTTGGTATAAAAGGATCATCACATAAAAGCAAATTCACACATACAGAACCCGCATAAAACAAAGGAAACCTGTACTGAGTCTCCTGTAATGTTTCTAGCTGTTACTGCTCTTAAGCTTTCCAGCTGACTCTCTTGTTCTTTGGTGTATTGGCTACCTCCCTCTATTTGAAATTTCCTGAAGACTTGGCCACAGATGAAATATTACATACATAAAACAGTCATTGAAAGTGAAGAACAGAGCTTGGGAATTTTTTTTGCTCATAGTTGGAAAAAGGAAAAAAAAAAATTCCCTGGCAAACCAAAGGTTGTATGTGGGGCAGCAACTAAAAGGGACCATCAATATGTGTAAGTAAAAGCCATAACTGTGAGCATTGGTCATTCTCAAAACTATTGCACAAAAGTGAAAGGAGACATGTTAAGTCCAGAGAATTAATTACTCTACACAGTGGGTGCATCTATACCTGTGCTTTAATGTGCAGTAGCTTATTTTACTACTCATTAGAGTGTCATGGCAAAAACCATGCTAATGTGCAGTAAAATTAGGCTACTGCATATTAAGCAGCACTAAAAAGGATGTGCTTTTTGCTATTGTGCATTATGGCAGCCTAATGCATATTTAGTTAATATCTCACATTAGAGGTACTGAATTTAATGTGAAGTAGCAAAAGTGCATTAATGGATGTGTAATGCACCTGGTAGGTGCATCTATATGTGCCATTAAGCCATCATGATAAGCTTTCCAGGACCACAGCAGTTTTGAGCTGGGGCAGGGGGCTGGCAGGAAGTCTGGGGGTTCAGCCCTGGGCTCTAGGTTGAGGCATTAGGTGGCAGAGGGGCTAAAGTCTGGGGCTAAGCAGTAGACAGCCTCCACGCTTTAGCACCCTTGTCCCCAGCCAGTCCCTGTCGCCATCTAGATGTGTATTTTTGTCAAGGTAAGTATTCTGCCATAAGATAGTACTGTCAGGGGCCATCTTACGATGGAGTTAGTTAATTTTCGGTGCCCTAACTGGAAATATGGGGTGGAAAAATTTCCAGTGCTTTATATTTCTGTGGAAAATTTTGCATTTCTAAAAATGCATTGTTTCATAAAATTCATTAGTAACAATGAATGGATGCCAATACAATATTAAGCAAGCTTGGCAGGCAGCAGAGAATACGTCTGCTCTCACATGGTGGAAAGGATACTGTAACACCCAACTGTTGTCCAGGATTGCTCTAAGGATCCTAAGCATTCCACCAACAGCAAAAAAGAGGAATAAACTAACAAATGAATGCACTGCTAAGCTATTTATTATTTAGTGAAGAAGATGCAGTGTGATAAGTAGTTCTGAATCAGATTTGCCTCAATCTGATTCTGAAATGGAACTAATAAGTAGTGCAAGTGATTCTACAGATAGTGATGGTGAAACTGGAGGTGCCGCAGTGACCTCAGTAGAAGAGTTAAACTCTATTGAAGTAGATGAGTGGACTACCATGGCCTATCATGCACAGTTCTTAGGGTGTGCTAAAATTAGTGTGTCAACAGTTTTCATTGCCTTGCATTTTTTTCTTAAATTTAAACAAACAATGTAAGGGAAGTACATGCTATTGTGTATTGTCTTAACATTTTTATAAGTATTCCAATAAAAATAATTTCTTTCTACATAAAGCTTTGAATTTGTTTGAATATAACATTTAAACCACATCAAGTATTCTGTATTTAATTATTTCCTAATCAAATATTTCAGTTCAAACACTTGTGGCTATTGGGGCATAACATTAACATAGGGGTACTTTTTAAAGTTTTGTTTACTAAATATAAGTCAAATAAACATGCTAAATCAGATCACGCTCTATTTAGGACATTGGTAAATTTTCTGGAAAACTCACATCTCTGGCCCTAATACTGGAACATGTGTGGATGGTGATGCTTTACTGTGGAGCTAATCAGTCAACTCTTCAGTAAAGCACATGTGTAGATGCACCCAGTATTATTTGTTCACAATTAGTTGTTTTGACCACCATCAGTGTTTATGGCACTGCAGCAATCAAGGCATTATTGCTGATATCAAAATGTGTTTAAGGAACAATTACATGTTTGAATGGTGGGTAGAAGAGGGTGAACTCACTAAATGAGAAGGTTAGTAGAGGAAGATGGAAGAGGCTAATACGTTTTACAAGAATATTTTGTAGTTTAACAATCTGAAACATATTCTTCTCTTAAAAGACTTAATTAACTGAATGAAGAAGTCCTAAAAAAAAAAAAGACTTGACTTCCTAAATCTGTTAGGAAATAAGTTAAAAACAAAAGGTGAAAGAGCAAAAGTGTGTGGCCCCATCAGGAAATATTTAATTTATCACTGAAAGGAATGGGTAGAGATTTATCTTATAAAATTATTGGAGGACTTTATTTGCTTAATGTATAATGTTGTAAGTAATACTGAAACAGATTACTATGAAAATATTGCCATCAAGGAGGGATCTTGTAATGTGATGGGGGCACTGGCCTGGGCCTTAAGGGTACAGGACAGGGTTGCTTGGGGCTAGGCTGGACTTGGACACGCACCTGTGCCTGGCCAAATGCCAGCAGTGGCGGCAGCATCTCCACTCCCCACTCCACTATGCCAAGGCCCTGCTCGGGGCCAGGTTGAAGACTCCATCCCCTCACCCTTAAGCTCTGTTCCCCACAGAGAGCCAGGAGGAGCTACAGCACCAGCGCGGTACTGCTTTTTACGCCCCTGGAAGCTCTGCAAGTGGGGTGGGGGTGGAAAAGGAGCCCCCTGCTGGACAGGCCTCCCCCAGCTTGCTGGCTTGTTGGTGAGGGCAAGGAAGAACCTTTTCCACATGTTTCCCCCTCCCCCTCACCCCCAAAGTTCTTGGCACAATGAAAATTGGCACCACACTGCAGCTCCGGGCTGTAGCTGTGGGAAAGGAGACCCCTTCACCAGGCTGCAGTATACCAGAGGCCTGGGGCTGACGTAGGGAGAGAGACCTTTTTTTCCTCCCTCCCACCCTAGCTAGGCTGCAGCTCACAGCTAGCTGGAGGGAGGAAGTGGGGCCGGGATCCGAGCCTGTTACTGATTCAGATCAGTGACAGCCAGGGGCCAGGGCCACCCGATGCTTGGGAAGAGCAAATGAGCTCTGCCCAAGGCTACAGCACAGCTCTGTACAATGCTGCCTGCAATGATGGTGATGGCGCTCAAAGGTAACCCTTGGTGGGATCTGGCACAGAAGTTCAATAAACCAGTCTAACAGATAGCTCTTTAGTCTAATACCTCATCCATTGAGCGGTAACTTGTGGCACAATTCACCATTTTTCAAGGCACTCTAAGAATCATGAATGTCTGTTCAGTTACCACTTGAGTGCTTTCTGTGCAATTAACGTCAATACGGGTGTTACACCTAGTTATTGACGTAAAGCAAATAATGAATGTAAAAACCTTGATGTTGTTGTGATTTTAGGTCTCAGTTTTATAGTTGCAACATGCAACAACCTTTTGTGAAATGAATGGGAACTTCTCTAATACAGGATTAGGTCACTAGTAGCCATCACTCACCTGATTTAAACATAACAGTAGTGCAGGTTAAACTAAAGAAGCAATAGGTAACAGAACATAATGGAATATGGAGTAACCGAAGCAGAGAATGTTGGACAACTGAAAGAAACGACTCATTCTCAAAATATTTGGACAGTGCGATAAAGGCCAATTGACATGCAAAGAAAAAGTATAATGCCTGTTAAGAAATTTCAACATATTTTACTGTTTGCCAGGTGATTAGTCTTTCTGACTTATGCAAGCGAGATATCCAGTTGCATGGCTTTTTATGTTTAATCAAACTAAACACTGATTAAGTTAGGTTGATGTCCTGAAATGCCTGAAACTTTTTTTTTCAATAAGTGAAAGGAAGATAACAAAGTAGTACATAAGAACTACAGTCCAGCTTTTTTTTTCATTTTCACTGCATACTTTTTATAACTCTCATTTATTTGTCCGTTATTGAATACCTACTTTGAACTTGTATAATGCACATTGCTGCAGGTGGCAGTGCAGTTGATCAAAGGGTTGTTCAAGCCAGAAGTGGAATATGGAGAAAGAAGACTGCTTTAAGTGTTGATGGATGTGTGACATAGTGTGACAGAGAACCTGAAGCTCTCTGTTATTTTAAGGGAGAGAGAAAGCCCCAGGTGAGCGAAGACTGCAAAGGAGAAGTTGCAGGAAAAGTTGCCTAGGGAAGGAGGGACTGAGTGCTTACTACAGAGCTAGTTGCTGTGCGGTAGCACAATAGGACAATGTCTGTGCAGGTAGTGAGAAGCCTACTGCAGTGCCAGCTGTTCCACAGTAGGCCTATAGGCTGGAGCCTTTCAGGGGAGACAAGGCACTGCAACAGGTAGGCTGTCATGCAGGTCAGTTAGTGACCCTAATTAGAGGTGACCTGTGGCCAGCCACATGGAGTTACCTAACTGGAAAGTGGCAGGGCCTGGGAGAGGGAGTAGCCAGGCTAGGGCAGTCAGTCTGGCCCTGAAGGCTGAAGAAGGCAGAGCTCTGTGGTGCTATGTCTGTCACTAAGAGATGAACTGTGAGCATGCTTTGACTAGAGATGGCAAATGAAGGGCTGAGGGCTAGCAATGGCTGGGTAGGAGTTGTGGTATATAGCCAGGAGGCTAAAGGTTTAATTATAGCCACAGTGCTTGCATTTCTGGTTTTACTTCACCAGTGGTTTTGTAGGTCCCATTAGTTCACAGGAGGGGGCATGTCACTGCCTTAAGCCTTGCCAGGGGTCAGGCTTGAGGCACAGGCAAGGGTCAGGGAGCCCATTGTGGCCTGAGAAGGGTGGAGAGAGCCCATACAAGGGCAGAATTTGGGGTCAGAGGGCCTGGGGCCCAAGAAGGGCAAGATCAGGGCCCAGAGATACTAACAGCCAATGGTCTAGCTAGCTCAGCTTCAACCCTAAGTCCATGAGCCAGGGCTGGAGGCTTGCAGCCAAAGGAAAGGGGCAGAGGCTGAGAAGGCCAAAGCTCCAACAAGGGAGTGATCGGACAGTAATTCTGCAAGGCACATATGTAGAGTAAGGGGTGGATAGAGCCACATAACAGCCTTTAAGGCTACAGGTGCCCTGGTGGCATGGGTAGGTCAGGAGGACCTACTTAGCCAGAGAGAGGCAGAACAGAGACCAGCAGGGTCCAAGAGAGACTGGCTGGTAGGTAGAAGAACTGGGGCTCACTTTAGGACCTTTAGGCAGCCTCCCTTTCAATCGAACAAATACATTAAGGTATGGCAAATGAGTGAGAAAGGGAGGGCACCTTAGAGCTCAAGTAGGGCAAAGATGGCATGGTAGTCAGCAGGGGATGTTATGGCCACCCCTGGAACATGAACCTTGTTATACATAACATCCCCCAAACCCAATGGTAGGTTTTTGTTACAACATAGTGGACAGATAAAGAAGAATAAGAAACATAGTCAAACAAAACTCCAATCCTAAACTACTTAAGGAACTCTTGACTGAGATCATTAGCCATTATGGAATTTACTGATTTTTGGCTACTCTGCATGGTCTTTCCTGGGAGCTTGATAACTTGAAAGACCTCTGCTTCTAAACTTTTTCAAAAACTTCTAAATGATATATTAATGTCTAAAGATATTGTGGTATAACCACTTGAGAGGAAGCAATATAAAATTAATAGGATGCCAAATGAAAACAGAATAATTGTCCTGAACACTGTGAAAGGGACAGTCATGATAAAAGAGAGAAAGTATCAAAAACAAGTAGTTTGAAATCTACATGTTTAGCATATCAATTTACAACGCAAGCATATACTAGAAGCCTTGTGTGTCTAAGAACACTCATAAATATGGAGCAAATGTATAACTACTAGGCCTGTGCGAGTCAGCAGCGATCCAATACAGCTTCAGATCCAGCAGCTTTGGATGGCTGCGATCCAGTCCGAAGCTCTGGACTGGGTTTCTGCCTTGATCCGGCCGAAGCGGCTCCAAAGCTTTATTGCCACCTCAGAAATCCAGCCATCCGGTATAATGGAGAATCAATTAAATATCTATAACTTTGTTGTTTTGTCTGATTTAGATGAAACCTGCAGGGATGGTAGCCCCTGCTGAGAGCATGAAACCTGCCAAGTTTCAAGAAGATCGGTATAGGGGACTGGGGGGAACTGTACCCCAAATTCCTGAAAGCCAAACTCATGTCACGGCTGTGTGTTATAACACAGCGGGTGTCAAAACTGTAGGGGTGGTAGCTCTAACTGATGCCACAAAGCCTGCCAAGTGTCAAGGAGATTGGTGCAGGGGTTTGGGGGGGAACTGCACCTCAAGCTGCAGACAAGCAAAACTCATGCCATGGGTGATAATGCACGTGTTAAAGCGCAGCAGGGTGACAGCTGCAGGGATGGTGGCCCCTGCTGAGGCCACGATGCCTGCCAGCTGTTGAGGAGATCGGTACAGGGGGAGTCTGGGGCCCTGCACCCCTAACTGATGACAGGCAAAACTCATGCCAAGACTGTCTCTGTCCTGGGGCAGTTGATTATCTGTATTGATTCTTTCCTCTCCTTAGTCTGGTTTTGTAGGTGCTAATTGATGCTCCTTAAGTTGTTATGTAGTAGCTAGGTCCTGTGTATTGAGCTGGTCCCTGGTCCCTGAGTGAATCATGATTGATTGATTGGTAACTGGGAACACAGTAGCTTAGCAGCCAGGCCTGCAGCAGTGTCTCCCCTCCCCCCCCCCAAGCCAGAGACAGTCAGTCCCACAAGCACCCATGGCATAAGTTTTGCTTGTCCACAGCTTGGGGGGCAGTTCCCCCCCAAAGCCCTGCACCGATCTTCTTGAAACTTGGCAGGCATTGTGGCCTCAGTAAGAAGTTTTCACCCTACTATGTTGTAACACCTAGATGTGACATGAGTTTTGCTTTCAACAATTTGGGGTGCCATTGCCCCCAAACCCCTGCACTGATTTTCTTGAAACTTGGCAGGCTTCATTCGCTCTGCAGAATCTACCACCTCCCAAAATGATATCCAAATCGGACAAAAAAACCCAACAAAGTTATAGATATTTTATCCTTTCCCCATTATACCCTATGGCTGGATCTCTGAGGCGGCTCTGAAACTCTTTGGAAGCTCTGAACCATTTTGGGAAGCCTAACAAGTCCAGCGCTTTGACCCAGATGTGCTGCTTTGGACCCCAAAGCGTCCAGAGCTTCTCCGGATCTGATACTCTGTCCAAAGCCTCACACAGCCGTAATAAATACACATGTAATAATTCTATAATTGGGGATGGGCAAACTAGTGCAGGTAAAACATATGTGATCAAGGTGAATTATGATCTCAAGGCAAAAATATGTAACATACGCACACACTTGGGGTTGTGGTAGTAAAGTGTGTTCTGGGTTTTTGTTGCTGTGTATCTTGTTTCTGCTGTATATTTTGCCTCCTCTAGAACCATTTCCCCTGCCCCTCATGCCCAGGCTATCAGCTGAAAATTCCCACCAAGCCACCTGTGAAACCAGTTTGACTCTAGCTACTTTACCCAGAGTGCACACCACTTTTAAATTCATTGGTCTGCATTAGCAGTTTTAAAATAATGCTGCTTCTGGTTGAACAGAAGCAGGTGATCATGTCAGGAAAGTAATTTAAGGATCAGGTCCCCTGGGCTGGGTGTCTCTCTTTCTTCCTGGGGCTGCTGAAGCCTGAAAGCTGAATTGGGAGCTCTAGAAAATCCTGCTTCCAATGCCCACCCCACCACTTCTCTGGAGAAGAAAACTGAAGCTATGTGAAGGGAAAGCCTCCAGTACAGGGGTAGGGTTACGATACATCCAGATTTTCCAAGGCAGCAGCGAGGTACGGAGCAGGCAGAATGCGGCTCATAGCTGTAGCCTGCCCTTGCCCTGTGCAAAGATCAGGGGCCCATATGCCCCCCCCCCTGGCTGCCCAGCACCGCACCCCTGGAGGAGGCAACGGGCTCTTTCTGGGGATGATGTGGGGGTCCCGTGGGCTCCATTCCCTTTGGCCTGGTGGTTCAGCTGAGGCTGGCCCTGTTCTGGGCCATGTGGGGCTGTGGCCTATACAGGGCAGTGAATTCACAGGGGCCGCCAGCGCTAGGCAATGACTCTGGGTGCATGGGAAGAGACGGGTTGCAGCAGGCCCCAGCCCCAGTCCCAGGTCTGGCTCTACTCCAATCCGTGTTTGGTCCCAGCCCCATTTCCTCCCCACCCCCCATGGCCCTTTCCCCTACCCCCGCAGACTTTCCTGTGCGTGCCCAGCCACCCCCAATTTTTTTTCTCCTCTACCTGTGCTCCAGCCCATTGCTGAAGGGTGGATATAGGGGTGCAGGCCCCCAGAACTACCCGCTGGGGAGTCCCAAGCCCCAGACTGTTTGGGTGTGGGTAAAGCCTCCCCCAGGGAGTGGCACCTATAGATTTTTTGTAATTTATAGTGTTTTAAAATTATAGTTAGTGTTTACTCTTGCTTTTTCTGTATTCTTTGTAATACATTTAGATTTTGTGTTTACACTGCTTGCAAGGAAAGGGTTGTTGATTTTATTGAACACCCTAGTGATTCGTTTAGTGTTTCCAAGGTAGACTGGGTAGGAGCTTGAGGCAAGTTAAAATATATTTAGTACTCCCAAAATTGAACCTGGTCCTTGTTGTTGCTGGCAGGTGCGGAGCAGAAGGTTTACAAATGAAAGAGTATGGATCTGTTTAGAAGGAAATACAATGGGTAAAATTATTTTGAGCATTTGTTAATTATTTAGGGCCAGACTGATATGCTTTCTTACATGGAGTAGGAGCTCTACTTCTTGGGCACCCAAATGAATGGAGTAACTGGAGGAGTCAGTTACCCATAAGTAACTTAAAAAGGAGGTGGAATACCAGAGAATTCAGACAGTGGTCCATAGATACTGTCTTTAGATATAAATATCACTAATTATACAGTAGAAGGGAACTAGAGCAGAGTAGTCAGGAAGAACTATAGTAGAGATTTGAATAGTATATTACAACTCTGAATAATTGGGCTGCATCCTTGGCTTAATGTGTGATATTTGAGGAAGGCAGTTTACCTGCTTCTACTTCTTTTGCTCTTCATCCTTTTCAGTATTGTGTCTGTTTAAACTGTGAACTCTTTATGGGCATGTGTTGTCCCTGTGTTTTTGTATGACTTAATACAATGGGGCCCTGATCTCTCTACTGAAGCCTCTAGGCACTGCTGTAATAAGAACATTTTATCCTAGATGATGGTTAGTTGAGGTACAGAATTAGGCATTAATGAAAATGGCTGATGATTTTCATAGATTCATAAATGTAGGGTCGGAAGGGACCTGAGCAGATCAAGTCCAACCTCCTGCTATGGGCAGGAATGAATACTGGGCTCATATGGCCCCCACTAAATTAAGCTCATATGACCCCAGCTAGGTGTAATCAAGTCTTCTTTTAAAGACCCCCAAGGTAGGAGCCAGCACCACTTCCCTTGGAAGCTGGTTCCAGATCCTAGTTGCCCTGACTGTGAAGTAGTGCCTCCTGATGTCTAGCCTGAACCTGCTCTCAATCAGCTTGTAGCCGTTATTCCTTGTTACTCTGGGAGGTGCTCAGGGGAACAGGATCTCACCCATTCACCTCTGGTCCCCCCAGTATGTTTATAGACTGGTTTATTTTGACTAGTAGTGTTTGTATTCCACAACTCGTTATGGAGATAGAATTGTATGGAAGTTTTCACAGTATTCATCTGTGCTTCCCTTCTCCAAACAGTAGTCTTTACTTTTGTTTTTCATGATTCAATTTGTGCACAAATTATACAACTATTACAATTTCACTGCAGAAACTTAAATTCTTCCTTATTTCCTCTTTGTCACTACAAAGGGACCTCCAGGTACTGGGATTTCTTTCAGACTAACAATGTTTTTCTCTCCTACTTTGCCTATCACTTCCTACTCTTCAAAAATCCAATCATGCTGTACATTTTGAACAATTTTCATTTTCATCCTTATATTTGACTTCTCAGTGCAGTACCTCCAACTCTACAGTATTTGAAACCATCCCAAATTAGTCACATACTCTTTACTTTTAAGAGAGAAATTTTACTTCAGTGCATATTCTGCTGGGTATTTCAATGCCAAGACAGGTCAGTCAAGTTATAATTGATGCTAAATGCCACCCTCTCAAGGTGTGACATTGCACTTTTCATCAAGGGATGTTAAAAGGTGGTGGTTGCTGCTAGTATTATTATGTGGCTGTGACCTTTACAACTGAATGAAAAATGAACAGTATAAGGAAAAGGTGAACACATCAGTCAGAATGTGACAGAGGTTTTAGAAAATGAGAGAGAAGTCTACAAGTGGTGATCACTCAAAGTTAGTGGTGTTGTATTCTATGTCAAAACAATAATTAATGGGCCAACCATTTCCTTCTGCATGCACCACTTCAGTTAGCTTCTTTTGGCTGTCATGAACTGAGAGGTCATGAACCTCAGCTCCCCCTCAATCAACAGGCAAAAGGCTACTGGAGATGGTTGGTGAGACGTTCTTTTTCAAAACCAGTGGCAATAGGACTTTAAGTCAATATGCTTCCTTGTGCCAAAATTTACAGGAAACTTGAAGGCTAATAGTGCCTGCTAAAAGATAGTGGGGTTTTTTTTATCCCTGGCATCCATTCTAAAAGATGAGTCTATAGTACTAGCCAGTGAAGATATACAGGCTGAAGCCTTTGGGGTTTTTAAATTAATCTATAAATTGGCAATCCTAACACACAATACATTTTAAATTAGCATGATGATGTTTTGCTCTTGTATGTGGACATGAGTGCTTGCATGACTATATATGAATTAGCAGAGGCATGTGATCAGGGCACCTTGTATTCCTACTAAATAGATAGGAGAATTTAATTTGAAACTCAAATCCAAGGGGCCATGTGGCTTTAATGATCTTCTCTGTAAATTTTCATTTGTTAATTTCATGAAACTATTATAAGCCACTACCTGAAATATTGCAGTGTTAACAATCACACCAGCAAAACTACTCAGATAATTAGAATGAGTACAACCCTAAATAGTGTTGGAAGTCTGCAGAAGTTCTTGCACTAATATTTTTAGCATGTACTCAAGGTTGGCAAAAATTAGCAGTTTTAAGCTAAACCTGTATCCCAATTGTTGTTTGGTTTGGGGAGTGGGGAAGGGTGTTTTGTTTTTTTACAGTGAACAATTTTCATAACCTTAATTATTTTGGTTTAGAAATGAACTTGAGTCAACATATTATGACACTTCAATGTGGATGCAGTTATATTGTCATAGTGGTTTATTTCTATAACTTGCTGTATTTAAGTTATCTTAATACAACTTATTTTGAGCTGGTAGTCCTTGAACTGGCTCAATATTACTTGCAGGCTCCAAGCTTTCCAGGCCTGTTATCTGGTCACTCCTCTAGACATTGCATACTGCACTGCTCTTTGCACTCTTAGACCTATGGAGTGCAATGGGACTGCCCAGGATCCTACTGACTGAAGATCTATTGTTTACAGACACCACAGTCTTCAGGGGTGGGAAAGCATAAAGCCTGTATGTAAGTTTGATTTGCTTGCTAGAAATTATTTGGTCCCAACATTATTTGGGGTAAGTGGGGGTAACGAGGTCTTGGCTAGGCGAGGAGGAGGGCTAGTCCCCTGATTGTGGTGGTGGTTGGGTAGTTGTTCTTGTAACAGTTCTAGGTGGGGTGGGGGGAAGCAGAGCTGTTGCACAATGGGCACTTAATAAAACAGAATGGCTGTCAATTCCATTCTTAATATGAAGTGAATTAGCCCATAAACCTAGCTGTTTCTTACTCTGTGCTGCAATCTTGCAGGTAGTCCTTCCCTACGGGTTCTACTTTGTATGTTGTTGTATGTAGCTGTTGGCAATGCAGTGTACATGAGTAGTTGGAAGAGTTCTTGGGTGGGAGGTGGGGCAGAGTACCCAGGCCCTGGAAACCATTGGCAGAGGACCATGCAGCTACTTAGCACCTGGCAACCCCTCTACTCCAACCCCCTGACCGAATCTGGGCTTCCTCCCCCACTAGTGGACTCTTGGGGAAACCTTGGGCACTGTCCCCAACCCCTGCAGAGCATAATGGTTTGGGTACTTTACCACTCCCTGGTGGTGTGCTGGTATAGTGCAATCCCTAAAAGAAGAGGGTTCCACTTAAATCCCCTAGCAATGTACATGGGGACATTTCTGTCCAGGGACAGTTGTGAACAGGTTTGCAGCCCAACATTTTTCTTGGAATGGTTCAAGTGTTATATCTTATACCCTTACAGAACTTTGAATACAAAAGCTGTGTAACAGCTGAATAAACTCAATCTTTGTGTTTGAATAAACAAAATACAGGAGTAGAAGTGCAAACACATGCAAGTAGAAGTGCGAACGAACAAAAATGTAAAACAATGGAGAGGCCAGAACGTAGTTTAAAGTGGTGGAAAAAAATGCATGAGTAAAATATTCAGTGGCTTTCAGCTTTTAACAATACTGACATTTGTCAGTACTGAGTCTTGCCCTCTCTCCTACCTGGCCTCCACTTGGTCACCCTTTAGAAATCTTAATGGCTTAAATTCTGGGGCAGGAAACACACCTTTAGGTTGAAAGGACTGAACTTGGGCAGATTTGCCTTTTTTGTGTATTCAAGGCTTGAAACTACTCAATGCAGTAGATTCATTGAGGGGGATGAAGTAAGTAGAAAATTCCTTCCAGTAAATATTGGGATTAGAGTAACTCGAGATGAGATGTGATGCAGCTAGCTGTGCAATTGCAACTGCAACAGTTTTTCTTATTAGTGTACTCTCTCTGAGTGCACTCTTTCTGGTGTTATCTGCTGTTGCAGTGGTCTGCAGTTCACTACTCATACTCAAGATTTGGGTTTCTGCTTTTTGGATGCCACCAAAAAGCAGATTTGGGTTTCTGTTTTTTGGATGTCTGAGTAAATCCAACTGGGCTGGATCTTGGGGCTTTTCCTTCTGGAGCATATGCATTGACATAAACAGCTTCTTCAAAAAACACATGCTCTCTTTTGTCAAAAGGTATCTCATGGTGACGGATGTAATTTCAAAATAGAGACCTACACAGAGCCCATTACCTACCTTTGCCTCGTCTACCTGAAGCTCAGATGGGTCTGGCCTAGTCACAATGGGTGCCTGTAGATGTGCAGGGAGGCTGCTCCAGTGCACTGCAATTACAGTGTGTTGGAGCAGACTTGATTAATCGAGTCTTTCAGAGCATGCTAATTAGCATGCTCCAGCAGCCTCCACATCTCAAGTATCGGTGTCCCCATGCTTCAAAATATCAGTGGGGACACTTTAACTAAAGCTCATTTATTAATCATTCTCTCGGAGTTGCTCTAATTAAAACACTTCTCCTCCCATCCCCCACACACAGAGCCCCTGGAGCATGTGTAAAAATACCCAAGTTTACAGTGGGAGGACTAGCCTGAACTCCTTGGAACTTAGTGCAGATGTGTCTCCCGAGCTTGTCAGCTTCTTTTCGTATAACCGTGCATGCATATGTATACTAGGCAGATTCTCATAACTCATCCTTATTTCCCCCTCTGAAATTTTAGATCTCCTTTCTGATCATGGAGCCAGCCCAGGTCACTTCTTCCCAATACTGAGGGGTCAACTGGTATTATCTTAATTCTTTGAAGTTGCATAGCTACTCCTTACCTATATCATTTTCTTACCTTTCCTGGTTGGTTCTGTAACAACCCTGTTATGGCCTCCATTGACTTGCTGATAAACTAAATACTGAGTTGAACAAAAAAATAGTTTCTCATAAAAACTACAAAAGGTAATGGTTATGTCCTTAATTTGTCATAAGCATACTGTTCCTTCCTTACAGTTGCATGTAGATGATGAAAAAATTCTAAAAAGTGCAGGTAATTGCATGGACTGATATACTGGTAGGTTATCAGCATGCTAGATATTTATATGAGAAAATACAGGATCTGTCTACACTGTAGTCACACAACTCTACATAGATACCCAAATTTTCTAGTCACAGCAGCCTAGGACTCAGGCTGGTTAATATATTTTTGAAGAAAAATGTCCTCAGAACATATTGTGTTACATGCAAGCAACACTGCCAAATATCAAGACAGATGATAAATAAATACTTCATTATTTTCATTGTCCTCTATTTTCAGGTTTCTGGTTCTTCTGTTCTCTCCTTGGTACTGGAGTTTTTTTGTTTTTATCTTGTGGCAGCAAGGAACTGGCTCATTGACGTACTGATTCCAAAGTAACTAGTTGTCATATTTGTTGAGAAATAGACTATCTATTCATTCGCATTATGGGACACTTGTACACATGATGAAATTGGCCTTTAAAGTAGCTTAATTGCCCTTTTGTACCATTTTAATGGCATCACCATTTACACTTGTGGCAGTGTATTTTGTTTTAATTTAGTCATGCTGTACATGCGTGGTGGCATATTACCCTGTAAATGACTTTATTACATAGCAAAGTAAAACACATCTGATGTATTTTAGTTTGCTACATAACAAATTGCAGCAATACATCCAGAGAAGGCAGCAGGGACGGTGCACAGGGCACTGGAAGCCCAGGCATGCTCAAGGAAGCTCGGGCTCGGCAGGCTTCCAGCACTCCATGCACCATCTCTTCCATCTTCTTCAGCCACAAACACACCCAGCCACCTTCCTGCCACTTTCCCCCACAGCCACAGGGGCAAGCCAGCCCATTCCTGGGTGGTGCCAGGTGGTGGGGACTGTGCACAGGGCACTGGAAACCCGTGAAGTCCAAGCTTCCCCAAGCATGCCTGGGCTTCCAGCACCCTGTACACAGTTAGATCTAGCAAGCGCTGCTTGTAACCTGGGGGCAGCACCTGCCTGCTAGCAGCCCACCCAGGTGGTCCCAGGGGGTGCTGCCACCCCCACAGCTCAGGGGCTGCTCAGCTTGCCAGCAGCTCATCCCTTAGCTGTGGCAGAGGCGAGCAGGCTGCAGGAGGAAAAAATAAAATTGGGCCCCTTGCCACTTTTTTTCTCTTTCCCTCCCCTCCAGTGAAGCCTATCCATGCAAGCTGCCGCTGGGTTGCACAGCCTCTGAGCTGCAGGATGGCCTGGTGCTTCCCTCCATGGTGGTGGCACACCACAGGACCTCTTGGGTTGGGTGCTAGCAGGCAGGTGCCACCCAGGGAAATCCACCACTGCAGAGGGAAGAACCAGGGCCCCTGCAGCTCAGGACCCACCAGCACCTCACCCCACAGCTGCAGGAGAGGTGGGTAGGCTCTGAGGGGGGAGGGGGGGAATCAGGCCCCTCACCTCTTCTTTTTTTTTTT